CCCTTCCATTTCCAAAGCATGAGAAACATGCTAATGAAACTGGATTGAAGCAAATGATGTAATTAGAAGTTGTATTTGTTTTTGGAGAAAAACAAGTTACATGTGTAATACATTCATTTGCAGAATTATGTTTATCAATTGAAACAAAGTTTCAATCTTATTTAATCGTGGTTTCAAGATTAAATAAAATTTCCAAAATAATTATGGATTGATGGGCTAATCAGGTTAATTTATTAAATAACCTGGTGAATGAAACCCCACAGGTGAGCTAAATTCATACATTTTTTAAGTTCCTAGTTCAGAATCATTAAAGTGGACATAAATGATTTCATAAATTGAACTAGCATGTAAGATTGATTGGATAACACAATTTCATGGGGTATAGGAGCGCAGTGAAGCTCGGTCAATCACATGGGTATGCATGAATGATGCATGATCGAACTATAGACCTACTTTGAAGTTCAAGTATAGAACTTCCGGATATATTAGTGGATTCCTTTGACATGAGTGGAACATTGATTTCATTCAATGATTGATGTAACTGTGTACATTCAAACGTCTTCCCGTAACTGGAGATTATAAAGTTTGTTTCCTGGTTACCTCATGATTTGAGTGGGAGCCTTGGCTGCCACAAGATTGGATTGAGTCTACCTATTAAATAGGAATGTGTCTTGGCCCCTTAAAGAGGGAGAATTCAGAAAATGCATGGTCGTGCTCAAATGGATTACATAGTAATCATTTGTTTTGTAATTCTAACTCAGTTTTCAAGAAAAGATTTGTAGATAAATATGATCACGACATGAGATGCAATCATATTATCAAATCGACACACATTGACTTAAGGAATTTGAATATTGCGCACTTATCTCAGACAAGTGGGAGATTGAAGGAATTATGTCTTCAATAAGTGCAATTACTAGATATATCAAGGATCACTATTATGGAGATAATAAGTTCGTTCTTTTGGGTCGTCATTATCTGTTGCTAGACTATGATCAATGATCTTTGGGCTAGTCAAATAGTCCAAAGCCTACTAGAATGGATCCTATGAGGTCACACAACAAGGGTATTGGGTTAAGCAATTAAGAGGCCCATTAATGGGCCTCATGAGCAACTAACTAATCATGAAATGGATTGGGCTAGCATAGTTAGATGAGAATTAGTTTTTGGGCTTTTGACATGGGCTCTTATTTAGAGATGAGATCTATAAATAAGATCCATGCCTAGGGTTGCTTGCAACAGTCATAATTCACACACAGTGTATTTTGACATCAAGGCAACCAATCCCAAAACCCTAATTCCTCTCTCTATCTCACGCCTATCTCTCTCCTCCCCTCGTCCGTACGGCCATCCACCCTTGGTGGCGCGTGTGGTGGTTTCGTGGTGGTTCGTTGCTTGCTCTTCTCCATAGAAGGTCAATTGAAGGGTTCAATTTGCAACTAACTAGCATTAGTGGAGGTCTTAATCTAAGCCCGTGGACCAAGTAGAGGAATCACGCTTGAGGTTCTTTATCTCCCAATGTTCTTGCTCGATCGCACATGGAATCACGCTTCAAAGGTACGATTATATGTTCTTTATGTGTTATGCATTAGATCTTAGGATTAGGTACTGTATGAATATGATTCATGATTATTTCCGCTGCGTAGTACCTATAATTCCCTACAACCACTTTTTGGCTTTAGCGCCTGGCGACAGAGGCTATCGTCTGGCGCTAAAGTCAAAATACTGGTGCTATTGTTCGCTGACGCTAGTTCCTACATGCCTCAGCAACTTTCTGTGCTTGATAAAATTTTCCAGTTTCGCGCAGTGTTATTTCGATCCTAGTTGTGAAATATATTCCTCAAATTTCCTACGTGTAGAAATCCTATGTTTTAACTCATTACGGATGGTCTTTCCAATGAGATCTTCTTTATGCATATGACAATATGTTAATCAAAATTACGCACATGAAATACTTAGAACTTTTCGAGTCTTATCCACTCATTCTAAATCATTGCCGAAATAAATTTAAGGAATTAAAATAGAAATCCTCCCCAGTGAAGTCGCCAAAAACTGTAGGGAATATTTCAAGCATTACCCCTAGCTTGAACCACACTGTGATCATACACTAAAGTACGGTGGCGTCCAAAGGGAAAAAAGATAGAGCAAAAGAGTTGCCAACAAGTTTTAGGAACTTGTAAACCGTTCACAGGGTGAAGGCTACACCTCTTAACGATCCAAGAGATCGTTAACTCCAATAGGTCTTGAACCATGACTGGTAGTTCGGGGATGAAGGTACAAATCCAACCTAAAAGAGATTAAACCTGTCCTAAAAATAGTCCTCTACTTTACTCTGATCGTATTCATGTGCGCTTTCTGACTAACATACAATCATTAGGTTTACTCTAAACCTGTTTATCTATGTTGGTTGAATATTAATGCACAAATAAATCTATTATTGGCGATCACTTGAATTATAATCAAATTAACCCTAAACAAGATTATTTAATATCTTATTAAGCATGATTACAAGTACAAATTCCCTTTAATCATGCATAAAAGGTGTGATCAAGCAATAACAATAAATATAATCAAGCAACATGATATTAATCATCATTATAAAAAATATAATTAAAATAATCATATCAATGCTAACGCATAATAATAGTAAGATCCTAGGCATGATACTAACAAGATTAATAACAAACCCTAGCATGTCACTAAGCAATAAAAATCAAATCTTCAACCCTAACATGATACTAACAATCATAAATATTAGGAAGAACATAAAAGGCATCATACTTGATATTAAAGTTACCCTAGACATGATACTAGGAAGATCAAAACACCCTCACATAACATTAGGAATCATAACAACAATCTAAGCATGATTTCTACATGATAACATCAATAAAAACCATTAAAGCACTTACTTGGATGCCTCGTACCTCTTTCTAATAACAAAATACACACATTAGTAACTTCAGGAAAATAATAAACAAACAATTAAATTAAATAATTGAAAAAGAGATTCGGGACCAAACCCTCAGAAATTAAAACCTTTCACGTCTAGGGTGAAGGCAACTTCGAATTTGGCTAGGTGTATCTAGGTCTTGTGAATGCGGAATTTTGTATTCAAAAGGGTTGGTTTAGAAAAGTGAGAGAGAAAAGCTTTAGCTTAGAAAGTTGATGATTGTATATTAGAGGTTGTAGATGAATGAAAACGGGTTTTTAGAAGGCTAGTTATAGAGAAAATCAGCCAAAAAGATAGAAAATCGAAACAAAGTTTTGACGCGCAAAAACAAGGTTAGCGCCAGACGCTTACATTAGCGCCAAGCACTAATGACCGGCGTTTTGCGCTGATTAAATTTCTGACGCATTTTCTAAAATCAGATAGCAATTAACCGTACAGGAGGATAAAATCGTATTTTCCTCAAAAACATTCTTTTATTCTGATTAAAACTCTAAAAAGTCAACAAAAGTCAATTTATCAATGCTAATTAAATTAGGAATGAAAAAGAACCTTCTAGAAGAATCTAGAACACTAAAACCATTCCTAATTGCATTAGGAATGATAAATCCATATTAGGCCCTCCCCTAGATCATTGGGCCGTATATAAGGCTCAAACCGGGCCCAGTTTAGTAATTTTGCCATAACTTCCTCAATATTCATCGGAATTGGGCTTATAATATATCGTTGGAAAGCTCTTTTCAAGCCCTATACAATTACACTACTATTGGACCCATATCATGGACCAACCAAACTGGATTGACTGTTTTCTTAAAATAGGTTTTCAAAAACAGAGAGAAGGGAAAAGAAATTAAAACTATCACTTTCACTTCATTCGATTATGATTCCACGTGAAAGGTACTCATCACCGGGTTTGATTTTGGGGAGACACAAATGGGTGTCTACAATATTAAAACATCAAAATCAAATAGACAACAATATATGCAAGTAAACTCACACATCAAAATCGAACACATAACATAATTCATAAATTTTAAACTAATAAATTTCCTTACATGCAAAAAATCAATTAAACACTATCATCAAAATCAAAATAAAACAAAAAAAAAAAATAATACGTGCAAGTGAACTTACACAATAAAATCATATAGAATTATTACACACTAAATTTCACCGATTAATTACCATACAAAATGCAAGAATCATGCACTAATAAACTTCTAAATTAATGGATGCATGCAAAATTACCTGTTTTTTTTCGTTAAATAACTTGATAATTGAAATAACTTTTATTACTTGAAATTTTGCAATCGAAAAAGCTCCAGTAATTGTGTTTAAGTTATCTCACAATGAAGTTATATATATATATAAACAAACAAACAAAAACCTAACCCACTCAAAAAACACATGCCTTAAAACAAGCTAAAAGCTAAATACTTTATGTTATTAAATAAAACTAATTAAACAAACAAAGCTATGTACACCCCATCACTTAATATTAATTAAAACACATAAACCACAATTATACTAATGAAAGTCAATAAAGTTTTAAAAAGTCCAAAAAAATAACAAAACTTGATGGCAAATTTGCAATAACCAACAAAGAAGGAGTTAATTTTGGACACTTCACAACTTATTTTTGACAAAAAGGTCAAAAAAAAGTCATGAAAAAGTGATGAAAGTCAACAAAATTCAAGGATTTGATGGCATTTTTGCAATTACCAACAAAGTATGAGAAAAATATGGTCAATGCACTATTCCGTTCACTAATTTTCACTAATTTTTGCCAAAACTCCTAATCTTTCTCAACTTCTCACTTTTAAAGGTTATAGAAATGTAAGATTGATAGAGCTTAAATATTTGTAAAACCAAAATAAAAAAATTTATAAAAAAAAAAAGTCAATGAAGGAGACAACTCTTGAGATTATTTATTTTTTTTTTTGTTAATTTTTTTAATCTAAAAATACTAAAAGTGAAATTAAAAAATTTATTAAAAAAAAAATCAAAAAAGGACACAACTCTTGAGATTTTACTTTTTTTTTTTCTTAATTTTTTTAATCAGAAAAAACAAAAAATTGAACACGTGACCTTCTAAATTCCTGTTTTAAAATAATAGTATAGATTATTTTATTTTATTTTATTAAAAAAAAAAAAAAAAAAGTAAAAAACGGTCTCTACATTTGAAAAACAAAACGGTCATCGGCTTAAACAAACTCGGCGGAAAACGAACACAAAATTTCAGTCAGTCACTCACTCAAACCCACATCCATCTAACGGTCACCTGTTTTCTTCTCTCAACTCAGGCATTCTTCTTTTTTCTTTTTTCTTTTTTCTCTCCAATTTCTTTGTCTCATTTTTGTTTGCTCAAGTTTTCTTCAAATGGCGAGCAATTTGAAGCCATTTACCCCTGCGAAATCGGCAAAATCGAGCACCAAAGTATCCAAAGTACGAGTAATTGTTCGAGTACGCCCATTTCTCTCTCATGAAATTGCATCAATCAGTAAAGATTCAGTTCCATGTGTCTCAACTCTGACTGATAATGGTGGGTTGGATTTTGATCATGAAGTTTCCATTCATCTCAAAGATCAAGAAACCAGGTTAGGGTTTTTAATTTACTGTGATTTTCACAAGTTTATTCTTTTTGCTGAGAATTTTATCAAGTTATAATTGTTGAAATTATGTGTTCAGTCGACAAGAATGGTACAAATTGGACGGATTTTTTGGGGAAGAACATGATAATGTTGTAAGGATTTTTGAAAAAGAAGTGAAGCCGTTAATTCCTGGGATTTTTCATGGGTGCAATGCTACTGTCTTTGCTTATGGTGCTACTGGTAGTGGAAAAACTTATACTATGCAGGTACTCAATTTTAATAATTTTTTTTTTTCAGAAAGTATTTTGGTTTTAGAATAAATTTACCATTGTTTAATTAGTCGCCTAAAACGTAGCCTGTGTTGAATACGTGCTAAATTATTTCATACTGCTGGGAGTACCTATAACACGTGATAGTCACGTGCCACATCACGCTTGGACACGAGAGGGACTTTGTTTGGAGCACTGTTCTAGATACTCGTGGGTGCAGGTGTAAACTTTATTTGTTGATGTTCATTAAATAGGATAGAGAAGAAACTGTTAGATAGTATAAACTCTTTAGACGGGAGTGATTCCATTGATTCATATATAGGGTTACAACGGTGGGTGCTAATCAAGTTAGGAATCTCTAAAGATATTTACCGAAATATACAAAACTATATCCTTTTATACAAAATATTATCTAAAATATTTATGGGCATGGGCAACTAAAGCAGCATAAGTGTAAGACTCTTGCCCAGGGGGAAAGGCGGTCAAATCAGGGTTAGGCAGGGGGAAAACACGTTCAAGGATGAGGGGGATTGCGTTTTTGATGTTTTTCACCCCGAGAGCAGGGTGAAATTCAGAGAAAGAAGACGATGAATCTCCGTCCTTGGTCATGCTGGCCGGATTTTATGGTGGCTATGGGAAGAGGGTGGCGAGTAAGGCTATTGGGATTGGAAAAAAAATTAAAATAAGATGATTTGTTGTAACAAATGTGAGAAAGAACAAATTAATGAATGCAAAACAATTAAATAGCACACACAGATTTACGTGTTTCACCAACAATGTGTTGGCTACGTCCACGGGCAGGCGAGAGAAAAGCTTTATTGATCTTGAGGAAATTCCAGATTACAGATTGATAATGTCAATTATCAATAGACTAAACTATGAATAAACCCTAACTAGGATTATATATAGCTTTCCCAAATAAGATAGATAAGTGCATAAAAAAGGCCCACAAAACTCTAAGAAGTCGTGTGGGCTCCACCGTGCACAAACTAGCTCTCCATCGAGCGAGCTATCGCTCGGACCCTAGTCGAGCTATTGCTCTCGCGGCCCCTATCTCACTTTCGACCTTCACAAGCTATCACGCGAGCTACCAAGCGAGCTATCGCTCGGCCTAGTCGAACCAATCTATCTTCGTGAGCTGTAGCTCACTCGCATAGGAGCTATAGCTATAGCTCGCTGCTCCTAAACCCAAATTCAAAGCATATTTCAACAATCTCCACCTTGACTTGAATCCTCTCACAAAACCAGATAACCAGACGCATTGATCACAATGCCCAGAGTCTCCCTGCAACCAGACTTGTCCTGAAAGTCAACCAGACCAGATTAGCCCTGTAAGACTTTAGATTAGCCCCGTAGAGCTCCAGATTATCCCCGTAGAGCTCCAGAATAGCCCCTAAGGGCTACTAACAATCTCGAATATTGAGCAAGTTCAAACAGTGTTTAAACTTACTCCGCGAAACCGGCTTGGTGAACATATCAACAGGATTATCGGCAGTACCTACCTTCACCTTAATTCTCGTCTCAGTTCGTAGAAAATGATACCTGACATCAATGTGTTTAGTTCTCTCATGATGCACTTGATCCTTAGCCAAACATATTGCACTCAAACTGTCACAATATACTATCGCTTGATCATGATGTAGACCCAGATCACTAACTAGTCCCTTTAACCTGATTCCCTCTTTGGATGCTTCTGTTAAGGAATTGTACTTTGCTTTCAGTAGTAGACAAAGTCACTGAAGGCTGCAAAGTAGCTTTCCAACTAACAACAGAACCACCAAGAGTGAACACATAACCGGTCATAGACCTTCTACCTTCAACATCCCCAGCAGAATAGCCTGTAACTAAACATGCCACATCATTACCATAAATGAGACCAAAATCAGACGTACCCCTTAGGTAACGAAAAATCCTCTTGACTGCCTGCGAATGTTCCTTACCAGGATCAATCATGAACCTACTAACAACACTGACTGCTTATGCAAGATCCGGCCTATTGCAAACCATAGCATACATCAAACTCCCTACTGCACTAGCATAGGGAACCCGAGACATGTACTCCTTCTCAATAGTGGTGCAAAAGCAACCGACAAGTGACAATTGGCCGCGCTTGGAGTATCTATAGGGTTCACTGTTGACATGCCAAATTTCGACAACATCTTCTCAATGTAGCCTTTCTGCGATAAGAAATGTTTCTTTTGAGCCCTATCCCTATAAATCTCCATGTCCAATATCTTTCGAGCCGCACCCAAATCCTTCATATTCAAACTCGGCACTGAGAAGACCCTTCAATTTCTGAATATCAGACTTATTCTTTGCTGCTATCAACATATCATCTACATATAGAACTAAGTAGATGTAAGACCCATTTGTCAACTTGTTATGGTATACACAACAATCATACAGATTCCTATTGTAGCCTAGCTCCATCATGTAGCTATCAAACCTCCTGTACCATTGCTTAGGAGACTGCTTTAGCCCATACAAGGACTTCTTCAACTTGCAAACATGGTCTTCTTTTTCTGGAACTTGAAAACCATCCGGTTGGGTCATGTATATATCCTCTTCTAACTCTCCGTGTCGAAAAACTGTTTTCACATCTAGTTGCTCAAGCTCCAATGTGCAACCATTGATAGTAGCACCCTGATGGAAGTGTGTTTGACCACAGGTGAGAAGATCTCATTGTAGTCTACCCCCTCTCTTTGTGTGAACCCTTTTGCAACTACTCGAGCCTTATACTTGATCCCCTCCGCAGGTGTCATCCCCTCCTTTTTCTTGAAAACCCATTTACATGTAACAATTTTTCTCCCTGAAGGCCTAGGAACAAGATCCCAAGTCTTATTCTTATGAAGTGACTCCATCTCATCTCCCATTGCAACAAGTCAATGGGTAGATTCTGTACATGTAACTGCTTCCTTGTAGGTAGATGGCTCATATACATCCACCTCTTCGGCAACCTGTAGTGCATAAACCACCATATCTTCAAAATCAAATATGTTAGGAGGTTTTCCGAAATTCGCCCTTTTAGAACGTTCCAGAGCTAGATTAGGCTTGTTCAATTTTGGCGTTGATGATTCTGGTGCTTCAGTATTTTCATGTTGAACATCTTTTTCTTGTATCTCATCACTCTCATCATGAGTGACTTGCTGCTCCACCTGTTTGTCAACACTACCACTATTTGATACAACTATGGACTGAACATTAGAGTTAAACATAGAATTTTCATTAAGGACTACATTTTTACTAAGTATAACTCTACTTTCCGATGGAGACCAAGTCCTATAACCTTTAACCCCATCGCCATACCCTACAAATACTCCCTTTTTGGCCTTTGGCTCTAATTTACCCTCATTAACATGATAATAAACATTGCAACCAAAAGCTCATTTTTTAGTAATCTTCAGGCTTACCAGACCACACCTCATAGGGTGTTTTGAGGTTAATTCTAGAGTGATGCCATACTAACGGCTTCTGCCCAAAACTTTCTGGTCAATCCAGCATTAGAGAGCATGCACTGAACTCTCTCGTTCTGCTACACCATTTTGCTGTGGTGTATCTCTGACGGTACGATGCCTAGCGATCCCCTCATTCTTGTAGAACTCATCGAACTCAGACTAACAAAATTCTAGACCATTATCAGTTCGCAGCTTTTTAATCTTCTTCCCAGTTTGATTCTCTACTAATGCCTTCCACTGCTTGAAATTCTTGAAAGCTTCACTTTTAAACTTCATTATGATCACCCAAGTCATCCTTGAAAAATCATTAATGAATGATATAAAATACATGTGACCTCCCAATGACTCAACACGTGAAGGACCCCAACAATCGGAGTGGATATAATCAAGAGCACCTTTAGTTCTATGAATGCCTTTAGGGAACTTGCTGCGATGTAGTTTCCCAAAGACACAATGCTCACAAAAATCAAGGTTTGTGACCTTGTGGCCACCTAGAAGAGCAGCCTTGGAGAGGATTTGCATTCCTCTCTCACTCATATGCCCAAGCCTTATGTGCCATAACTTGGTCATATCATCCTTCTGAACCTCAGATGAAGCAACAACTGAACCTGATAAAGTGGAGCCTTGTAGAAAATACAAAGTACCACGCCTGACACCCTTTAGAATTACATCCGAACCCTTGCACACATTCAGAACTCCATCTTTACCCTTGAAACCTTTATTGCCTAGTGCACTAAGTGAAATCAGATTCTTAGTCATTTGTGGAACATGTCTAACATCGTTGAATATGTGAAACATACCATCATGTGTCCGGATCTTGATAGAGTCAATCCCAATTGCTTTGCACACTGCACTATTAGCCATTAAAATATTTCCTCCATCTACCTGCTCATAGGTAGTAAACCACTCCCTACGTGGACATATATGATACGATGCTCCAGAATCAAGAACCCACACATCATTGTGATATGTATGTTCACCCGCAACTAAAACAATGTCATACTCAGAATTCGAATCCTCTTCTGCTAAAGCAACATATACAGATTTATCCTGCAGTTTCTTCTTGGGACATTCTCTCTTCCAATGCCCCTTCTCTTTACAGTAATTACAGACATCAGTTTGTTTAGGACCCCCTTTGGAATTTCTGGGCTTCTTAGCCTTCTTTTTCCCGGAATTTCCATGTCCATTTCCACCTCTGGCCATTAATCTAGAGGCTTGATTGTCTATACCTGTACAACCAGATGCCTTATGGCGTAATTCCATAGTATGAAGAGATCATCTAACCTCTTCTAGGGACACAGTATCTTTACCAACAATAAAAGATTGCACAAAATTTTCATACGCAAAGGTAAAGAAACTAACAGAATTAAAGCAGCATCCTCATCATCAACCTTAACATCAATACTATGCAAATCTAGCAAAATCGTATTTAATTGATCTAGGTGATCTCTAAGAGGTGTACCTTCATTCATTCGCAGACTGAACAGACGTTGCTTCAATAGCAACTTGTTGGTTAGAGACTTTGTCATGTACAAACTCTCCAATTTAAACCACCTGATGCGGTTTCCTCCTCCGCAACCTCGGTAATGATATTGTCCGAAAGACACAACATGATTGTTGAATGTGTCCTCTCTTCCAGAATGGCCATCTCAGCGATATTCGGACCCGGTGACTTCTTTGTCGATGGTGTCTCAGCTCCATCTCAACCCGATGACTACTTTGCCAATGGTGCTCATAACCCTTGTTGTTTCAACAATGCACGCATCTTCATCTGCCGTTAACTAAAACTATTCCTCCCCTTGAATTTATCAAATTTCACATTCATACCAGACATCTCTCCCATTCAAATCGAACCTGTGATACCACTTGTTGTAACGGATGTGAGAAAGAACAAATTAATGAATGCGAAACAAGTAAATAGCACATACAGATTTACGTGGCTCACCAACAATGTGTTGGCTACGTCCACGGGCAGGCGAGAGAAAATCTTTATTGATCTTGAGAAGAATCCAGATTACAGATTGATAATGTCAATTATCAATAGACTAAACTATGAATAAACCCTAACTAGGGTTATATATAGCTTCCCCAAATAAGATAGATAAGTGCATAAAAAAGGCCCACGAACTCTAAGAAATCGTGTGGGCTCCACCGTGCACAAACAGAGAGCTCTCGCTTACCATCGTGCGAGTTATCGCTCTGACCCTAGTCGAGCTGGTCGAGCGATAGCTCATGGTCGAGCGAGCTATCGCTCGGCCCCTTTCTCACCTTCGACCTTCACCAGCTTCTAGTCGAACCAATCTATCTTCGTGAGCTATAGCTCACTCGCATAGGAGCTATAGCTATAGCTCGCTGCTCCTAAACCCAAATTCAAGGCATATTTCAACATGATTAAAAAAAAATTAATTTGCGAAAGCAAAGGTTGGATCAAAACCTAAGCTGTGATACCATGTTAGATAGTATAAACTCCTTAGATTGGAGTGATTCCATTGATTCATATATATAGGGTTACAACGGTGAGTCCTTATCAAGTTAGGAAATCTCAAAAGATATTTATCGAAATATAAAAAACTATATCCTCTATACAAAATATTATCTAGAATCTTTATCATATTCTATCCGAAATATGTCATTGTTAGAGCTTAATGATGTTTAGGCTATTTATATAACTTGCCATGAATAATTACTTTTATTCAAAACTTTTTCCTGTATGCTTCCTTATGATCATAGTACACGGAGTAGTGTAAACTTAGAAAGAGATTTGGTACGTTTATGTTATTATGTTTATGGGAAATTGAAAAGATAACATAATGAAGATTAAACAATTATAATTTCGTAATCATCATGTGCCAGTGTTGCTCATTTTTGTGAAAATTTATCATATTATATTTTCCAGTTTCTTTTTTCTCAATCAACTATTAAACGATATGAATGCCTTGGGAACTTTTTTATAATGTAAAAAAAAATCAAGTGTTATAGATTTCCTAGCTTTCCAATGTCCCAAACATACACAAAATTTTTAAGATTAGTAGGCTCAAGCATCCCTATGTTGGAATGTGCAGGGGACGGATGTGAAACCAGGGCTGATGCTACTAGCCATGTCAACAGTTTTATCCATGTGCCAAGCTACAGGAAACTTTGTCGAGATATCATATTATGAAGTGTACCTAGATAAGTGCTATGATCTCTTGGAGCTCAAAGAAAACGAGATCTCAGTGTTAGATGATAAAGAGGGGCAAACCCACCTAAGAGGACTGTCTCGAGTCTTTGTGACTTCAATGTCCGAGTTCCATGATGTGTTTGCTCGTGGCATCCAAAGACGTAAAGTTGCTCATACTGGTCTCAATGATGTGTCGAGTAGGAGCCATGGAGTGCTTGTAATCACAGTTTCTAAACCTTCTGATCAAGGACTGGAGACTAGCATTACTGGGAAGCTGAACCTTATAGATTTAGCAGGTCAAATAACTATAATGAAATATATGAACTGTGTGTGTTTGATTTTCCTCTATTTTTAAATGTATTAGATTTTTTTCTATCAGGTAATGAAGACAACAGAAGGTCTGGTAATGAAGGAACCAGGTTGCAAGAGAGTGCTAAGATCAATCAATCACTGTTTGCTTTATCGAATGTCATTTATGCTTTGAATAACAACAAACCCCGGGTTCCATATAGAGAAACCAAGTTGACTCGCATACTGCAGGATTCTCTTGGGGGGACTAGTCGTGCGCTGATGGTAGCTTGTCTGGTATGGAGCTGAAAAACAAAATGGTGTTTAGAGTCTGTGAATAGAGTTTCTATTGGAGTGTTAATTGTAGAAAATGATTTTGTATGCAAGGCTGCTATCTTCTGGACTCAGTCAAATCTAACCGCTGGCGGGATATATTATGGGTTTGTTACATATGTAGTCTTTAATTGATTCAATGATAGCATATTTTGATTGCTCTTTTTAATTTGTGGCAGAATCCAGGTGCTTATCAAGAGGCAGCCCATACTGTTAGCCTAGCAGCTCGCTCTCGAGATGTCTCCAATGTAATTTCCAAAGCGCAAAAACAAGAAACCCCAAAGGTAAAGATTGATATGGAAAAAAAGTTGCAATCATGGCTTGAATCTAAAGGAAAGGTAAAGAGCTCTCAAAGAAAGATAGCATTTGGTTCTCCCATTTTCCATAAGTCCCCTGGTAGCATTAGTTCTATAAAGAAACAAGCAGTGCCACATAGCTCTTCAAAGGCAAAAGTTGCAAATCAAGGAGTTACCGTGAAAGACAGGTGAAGTTGTCTGATGCCTTATCTAACTGATTGATTAATCGCTATGTCAAAATATCTTGCTAATTTGCATGTTTTATTGTTCAGTTTCTTGTCTGTGCCTCAATGGAAATTGTTTTCCCCTGAAGCTTCATCTGAATCTTGCAAAGTTGATGTGAGTATTCCATATGAAAATTTTACATCCAATTCATTCTATATGTTTTCATCTTCTTCTCTGCATGTGCAAAAGGAAGCAAGATTGGAACCAGTTTTTTCAAACTGGATAGGCATTTACTTCATTCATACATCTGCGCAGTTATTGCAGAGTGTTTGTGTTCAAGAATTAGAGGGTTTGAAAGACTTAAGCCTGAATGAAACAGAAGTTCTGACAGTGCTTGAAGATAGGCAGTTCAACAACAAATCAACACCACAAAAATTTGAGGACTCTCATTGTGTCTTTTATAAGGTTTGCTTGGTTTATCACAAAATCAATGCAAGTGTTGGGTTTTAAATCATGCATTACATGTTATAATGCTCTATAGCTTTCAAGTAATAAAAATTCATCTGACAGCTGAAGGACCCTGTTGCTGAGGATAGTCTACATCAATCAATGATGAATTCAACCAGTTTTGAATCAACAACCTGTTTGCCTGGTACTATTTTTGTGTATGATGATTTTTGACTTCAATGTAAATCTTTCTTTTGCTTTTCAGTATCATTTTTCCGCTCAGAAGAATGAACTTTAGTACATTATTGACTACAGATGAGCTTCTAGAGGATGATGAATGGGAAAATATTAGAGCTGGAAACTTGACTCAATCTCCGCTTAACAGGCCCAAAATAATGGCATGTCAGAGTCCACTGAGGAAAGCTCTATCCCTGGTTGATTCCAATATAACCAGACTGCCAGTCGAGGAAGTTTCATCAAGAGACAACGTGCTCTCACTGCTATTTGAGTCCAGTGCTCCAAAAACTCCTTTCGTTGTGACTCGTGATAAGTTTCAAGATTTTGGCACTCCACTAGATAAATTTAATGCACGTAGCTCTAATATGAAGGTACTAGAGCTATATCAGTTCTACATATCTGTAGATGTGTCATTAACTTTGCTAAACCCAGATTTCAATTTCATGTTTTCCAGAGCTATTTAGCCCAGGAGTATATTGATTTCCTCAATACTGCAACAAGGTACCGCTGTCCAGAATCTTATTCTTGAATTTGAAGATTTGCCAGTTTTATTGTCTTGTAGATGTTTGACCATTTTTTTTTCAATTATCTTGTAGGGAGGAACTTGTGGAACTGAAGGTACGTGTATATTTAATATTTTTAATTAACAATATGCTCTCGTAGTTTTCTGAACAAAGCGGATATGTTTTCGTTTAATTTTGTAATTTCAGGGCATTGGAGTAAAGAGGGCGGAGTACATCATCGAGCTTAGAGAATCCAGTGCACTGAAATCGGTAAAAAGATCTTCAAATTTGATATAGTTGTTTTCTTCATTATATTGCTTTGAGAATTTTACAGTATTATTACCATTTGTTACAGCTGAATGATTTGGAGAAAATTGGTCTTTCGTCAAAACAGGTTAATATCAATACATTGACATTTTTTTTTTCCGTATGATTTTTATGTAAAGCCTTATCTAGGTTTAGGAATGTAAAACGGTTGTTATGTTTTTTGCATCCGCAGGTCCAACAAATGTTTAGCAAAGCTGCCAAGGATATATTTGCATGAAAAGACTAGCAAAGTACGATGATGCTGTAAAGATTCTTGTATATCAGGCTTACAGACAAATATGTTTGTATCTTGTACATTATCCATGATTCTGAAGAATGTTGTTCTTGATCATTTATATTTCTTGTTTTTATAATCTGTGTGGAATTCTGTAACAAAATTGGTTGTATATATGAATTTATTCCTTGAATAACTTGAGTTTTAAGCATTTTTAAATGCAGTGTAACTTCTTAAACTTTGATACTGATTACACCAAGTACTCCCAAAAGCTGTGGATTGAGCATTTGAAGAGACTTTTTAAGTCACTTATTTTCGAAAAAATTCCTCAAATTAATTTTTATCATGCAATTTTTTTTCACACCATGGTTTCAGACTGGTTAAATTTTAAACCCGAGTGTTTAGTGTGGCAGCTGGCAGTATGGCATCTTTGGTCAATCAGTTGTATGACATCTTTGGTCAATCAGGAATAAATCAATTTTTGATGAATGGATTTCAATACACAATGCTTTTACTACATAACTATAATAGATGATATATAACGCTGATGGACCGTGGTTTCAATGAGAAACACTGGAGGAGGGGAATGATTGGATGCAACAAAGGGAAATGGCAAATCGAGAACTCTCTAAAATTCAAAATTGTTATTGCCATGTCTGTTGAATTGATCAGATTTCGATAATAAAAGTGTTCAATAGTAAACTCGACTGTTCTATTGACAGGTAAATTAATACTGATGTAATAATTATGGAAGAAGAAATCAAGAATAAGCAACAACTAGAAATAGAGGAGAGAGAATCTAGAGATGAGAATAGAAGAAGGTATAAGCAAAAATGGAGATGAAAAAGATGAATAGGAGAGAATACCAGAGGGAGATGGGAAGGAAGGCAGAGAAGGCACGTGAGAGTAATAAGTTGGAAATTTTTTTGGGGAGGTAAAAGTTACTCTAGAGGGGGGGGGGGCTAGGTAACAGTTACCCCCATTTTGAGGGGAATTATTTACTCTCTTTATGTGTTTCCCCAATGCCAAACCCATTTTTATACCAAATTATTGCTGTTATATTTTTTCCTCCCCCATTCCCCCCAATCCAGGCGACCCCTAAGAATCATCTGAACAATAAGATATATTTTACATACATAAAATAATAACCTTGATATATAATGAGTTTATTTGAATAATATTCACTATCAGGATTAACTAAGCTACAACCTGGGAAAGGAAAATTAATTTTTTGGAATTTGAAACAGACGAGCGCTTAAGTATATGCCGGACAATAATACATTGGAGCTTATACTGATCATGAGCTTGGGTCGATCATAATGGATGTTGCTGAGTTACTGCAGAGATAATAGGCAGCGACTAGTCTTCACGCGAAGAGAGCTGCAAACTTCATTGCTCACTGCCTCGCAAACTATGGAAAAGACTAATATGAATAGAAGGTTTATCACTTCATGCCACCACTCAACCTTGAAGAAACTTGCAAACTGGAACTCCTCAACAAGTAGTTGGAAATCATTTTTATTTGCTTCTTGTTCTTTCAAACAGTTATCCTCAACCAGCCCAATCGGTTTATCTTTTGTGTGTTGAACATTATTATGCTCATGCTTGAAAGCCATGAAAGGGACTTTTGTCTTCATAAATCTCTCTTAAATGAATTACACTTATCAAAATTGTTAAAATTATATTAACTTCATTGTCTTTTTATAAAAATTAACAAAAGACCGTTTTATACAAGATTTTTTCGTCTTATACTTTTACGGAGTATCAATGTACACTACCTTGCACTGTATTGCCTTTAACTTTTCACAAATGTTTATTAAAGGTCGTTTTACACTAATTTAGTGTAAATCAGCTTGTTAAAGGAAACAAAATTTGTTTCCTTCTTTACTCACACGTGCCTGATAGTTTTTTAAATTTTATCAAAAGAATTTTCTCTCTCTTCTTCATTATTCAGCACAACTACTTTCTCTCTCTTGTTTCTTTCTTAATTCGGCATTTTTCTCTCTCTTTGAACGAATTTTTGCAATCACCAATCTCTCTTCTCTAGTTGATTGTTGCTCTCTGCATTTCAATTTCTTAGTTTATTTGCTAATTTCAGGTTTGTTTACTTAATTTTTTTTTGTGATTTTTGTTAGTTTTAGTTATTTTTATTCTTCGATTATTAGGTTTTTTTATTTTGTTTTTGTTTTCGATTTTTGTAGTGTTTGATTCTGTAATGCTGAAGAAGAATACTACAAAGAAGTCTTTAGATGCTGAAGAAGGTGTGTTTACTTAATCTTTTGATCATTTTTTCAAAATTTTCAGTTCAAATTTTGAACATATATATGTCGAATTACTAGTGCATGTTATTTTTAGAGTTTGCATTTGCTTTTTGCTTATTTTGTATGCAAATTTTGATAAATGGAGTTGAATTTTGAAGTTTATGTGTTTATTTTTGTTTTACTTTTTTGTTTACTGTATTTAATTGGTTAAAAATTGCTTATTCATGTGTTGTTATGTGTTAAACAATTTTTGCATGGTAATTTTGCGGATTTGCTCTTTGATTTTTTGCTTTTTTTACCAGAGATTATGATAATTTGAATTGATAATTGTATATATTTGTTTGTGCATTAACTAGTGCATGTTATTTTTAGAATTTGATCTTTGTTATTGTTCAATGCTTAGATTTTAGGTAGAGTATGCTAATTGGAATTGATCTGGGTTTTAGGTTGAGTATGCTAATAGGCAGTATGTCATTGTGTTTAGAAGGGTCACTTTTATGCATATTTTTTTGCTATAAAAAGGGTCACTTTATGCTGTGAAAAGGGCCACTTTTTGCTGTTAGAAGGGTCACTTAGTGCTATTAAAAGGGTCACTTTTTTCTGTTAAAAGGATCACTTTGTGCTGTTAAAAGGGTCACTTTTTTCAGTTAACAGGGTCACTTTTATAGTTTATAGTTTTGCTTGAGTAGCTTATGAACTGTTAATTTGTGTTAATTTTTTCTGTATTAATCAGATGTAGGTGGTTTTTGTTCTATAGGTTGATATCGGTATAAAGGGTCTGTTGTGAAGGCAAAAGCAGTACCTAAGAAAGCGAAAGCAGTCTAAGAAAGCTAAAAAAATTGCCTTAAGAGTCTCCTAAGGGTAAAATAGTGCCTAAGATGGCCAAAACTTTGACTGAAGAGGCTCTTAAAGGTAAAGTAGTACCTAAGAAGGGAAAAGCAGTGCCCTGAAGTGTCTGGTAATGAAAAACAATACGTAAGAAGTGAAAGATGAGTCCTCAATTGGAATTGGATTCTGATTCTGACTCTGATACTTCAATGTAATACATGATTTGAGTGATACTTGATTGGTTTTGACTTTGATTTTTATTTTTTTGTTTAAAATTATATATGGACCAGAGACGTTTGATTATAAGGTGTAGACCATAAACTTTGGAAAGCTTGGTGCATGGCTTTAGTGTTAATAAAAAAACAAGTTGTTCAAGAAGTGGGTTTTGGTGATTTATTAGATTTAAAGTTGAAAAATCTCTGTTGTAAAATGCTTCCTTGGCTCGTTAAAAACTTTAATGGTGGTAGCTACATGTTTACTATTGGTAGTGGTAAGGAATTTGTAGTTACTAGGAATGATGTATGTGGCGTGTTTTGTTTGCCTATGAGTGATATTCTTGTTCCTTAACTGAAGAAAAATGCTGAAGACGCAAGTGTAGACAACTGTATTATTCAGGCATAGATATCTGATTTTGATATTTCTAATAAGCAACCTATTCCTTTGTAAAAATTGGAGGCTCAGATGAAAGCTTTGGTTGGTGGAGGGGAGGAATTTAAAAGGTATTTTGTGATTCATGCTATGTCTAGCTTTTTTAGCTCCTACTACTAATAAGACTGCTTCGTTGAAGTTGCTAAAGGCTGTTGAAGAAGTTGATGAAATCAAAACTGTTGATTGATGTTCTTATGATTTGAAGAAGTTAAAGAAATTTGTTGATAACTATAAGAATGATCCAGCTACTCAGAATGTTAGTGGATGTTTGGTGCTTTTGCAAATTCTGTACTTTCATCGTTTAAATTTTCAAGGAGTAAAGGAGAGTTGTAGCATTCCTTTGATTTAGCATTATAGATGCTAAGATTAAAAGTCGGATTAATTTGGAGATTAAAGATGGTGGTTTTGGACAGGGACCATTGGATACTACTACGTATCCTATGTCACAGTCTCCTATTAGTCAATCTGTTGTTGTTAAGCAACTTGTTACTTTGGAATCTACTTGGGGTGGTTTAAGAATTGGTGGAGGTTCTTCAAGTGGTACAATTGGCCGCTTTGTTCAATTTGAGCTTCCAAAAGGTGTGATGACTGATGATGAAATAAAAGAAATTTCAATTGATGTAAGTGTTTTTTTTTTCATGTGTATAAGTTACCCTTTTATGTTCATAAAAGTTACCCTTTATGTGCATAAAAGTTACCCTTTATGTGCATAAAAGTTTCCCTTAATGTTTACAAAAGTAACCTTTTATGTGATCAAAAGTTACCCTTTTTGTGCATTAAAGTTACCCTTTCTGTGCATTAAAGTTACCCTTTTTGCGCAGTAAAGTTACCCTAAATATTCAGTTTCAGCTACTTTTTTTTATTATTATTATTTTTCTTTGTCATATTTTATTTAATTCTTTATTTTTTTCTCTGTTTTGTAGGCTATTCATGAATAATTTCTTTTGCTTAAAAGAAACATGGATGTTCTATCAAGTGTTTAGGCAAATGGTTTTAAAACCTTGGGTGATTTTGTTTCCAATGTTCTTTCTGAAAGAACTGTTTCATTATCTTCTATGGATCCTGTTGTAGTTTATCAAACTCAAGAGTTACTCTCTGATCCTCATTATCATAAGCTTATAGACGATGTTATTGAGGAGTGTGTTAAGATGAAGTCTGCATATGAGTTGTTTCGTGAAGCATATGGTGGTAAACAACATAATAAGGATGATAATGCTGATGAAGTTGTTCTTGAAGTTAATGCTGATGTTAGTGGTAGAGTTAATGAAAATGTTTAGGTTTGTGATGTTAATGAGGATAAGGGAGGAGGAGTTAATGAAAATGTTTCTGTATCTAAAGAAGTTATTTTCGAGCGTATTATATGATCGAATAAATCTTTATGGTCAGTTGATTGTGGGCCATTAGATCATTATGTGCTTGTTGTTACTCTTTTTTTAAAGGGTAATGCTCGGAATTT